AATCTGCCCTGGAGGAAAATTCCTTCCCGACCCCAAATATGGCTATCAGTAAGACCCCGAGCATACATGCAAGGGACTCCATCCTGACCCCTTTTACCCATTATGCTATTTACCTACCATTGCTTGGTTTTCCTTGACTACTATGTTTTACCATTAAACCATTCCCTCCATAAACTTATCTAACTTAATCTTAAAACCAGACAGGTCCCTCGCCCCCACCGTTTCCCTCGGAAGGCCGTTCCAATATTTCACCCCTCTGACGGTCAGAAACCTTCGTCTAATTTCAAGCCTGAACTTCCCCACGGCCAATTTATATCCATTCGTTCTTGTATCCACGTTAGTACTAATTCTTGATGTCCGATTTGTGTCCATTTATTCTTTTGTGTAGAGACTGTCCGGTTTGGCCAATGTACATGGCAAAGGGGCATTGCTGGCACATGATGGCATATATCACATTGGTAGATGTGCATGTGAATGAGCCCCCGATAGTGTGGCTGATGTGGTTAGGTCCTATGATGGTGTCCCGTGAATAGATATGCGGACAGAATTGGCAAAAAGGTTTGTTCCTGGGTTAGTGTTTTTGCTGTGTCGTGTGTAGTTGCTGGTGAGTATTTGCTTCAGGTTTGGGGGCTGTCTGTAAGTGAGGACTGGCCTGTCTCCCAAGGTCTGTGAGAGTGAGGGATTGTCCTTTAGGATAGGTTGTAGATCCTTGATGATGCGCTGGAGGGCGATCCGCCAGTCCCATGGATTCGGTGGCGGGTAGGCCGAAGCTGCGGGACCGGCGGATCTCCCGCAGGCATGCCGCCAAAGGCAGCAAAAAGGTAGAGTTGCCTCTGGCTGGAGAGGTTTTAGTTGGGGGCTGTAGGTGACATCTAGTGGCATTCTGTTACTTTCTTTGTTGAGCCTGTCTTGTAATAGGTGACTTCAGGGTACCCTTCTGGCTCTGTCAATCTGTTTCTTCACTTCACCAGGTGGGTATTGTAGTTTCCCTGTTACCCCTTCCCTGGATTTTGGCCCCTTCTTTTCACCTACCCCCCTCACCTCTTCCTCGTTTCTGAATGTAAACTTGGCTCATAGGGCTTGGCTGTATTTCTTCTGCATCCCCTCTGTTCTTTCTTCAACCCCCAGATGGGTTCCTGTTTTACAGGTTCATCTAATGACTTCCAGCTCCTTAATTTAATCATCAGCCCTTTCTTATCTTAATCACCCTGCCTCTGTCTGTAAACAAAACACTGACTCCCTGCCCAAAGGGCACAAGCTGGGAGCAGCACCTCTCCTCTTCAGAGCTCACATTCCACACTAATTCTGTGCAGTTTTCACCTCGGAGCCCATCACCAGTATGAAACTCTGCCCCTCCCCCCGCCTAATTAGCGCCCTTGACTGGTCCTCATGCTTGTTCTTTGTTACCATAGCCCGGAGGCGCTCCAGGCAGAGCCAGCCACAACCGGAGCAAAGGTCCTCCTGCCCCAGGAGCTTAACAGCCAAGAGTGGGCCTCTCCAGGTGAGAGTAGGGCCTGAGGCTTCCTCATGTGACCCGCTTGGGGCTTTCCCCACCCAGCACTACCTCAGGTGCCGAGCAGCGACCGACCCCGGCTCCCGCTCTCCTTGCACCGCGACGGCCGGGCCCGCTGGGGCCCAGGGCAGGCGGGAGGGCACCAGGTCGGGCGGAACCAGAGACCTTTCTACCGGGCTGGGAAAAAGATCCGAAAATGAATGAGACACCCCCAAGAGACAGTGCGAGAACCTCAGGCCTACTCAGCGCGGGGTACGCCGGGAGTTGTAGTCCCCTCACGGCGCGGAGCATGCCGGGAGCCCTTGGCCTCGGGAAGCGGTGCTTCCGCAGTCCCGCCCAGCGCCCAGTCCCTTGCGCATGTGCCTGGGCTGCGGCGGGGCTCTATCCTGTCCGTAGGAGCTGGGCCATGGCAGCAGCCGGCGCCCCGTCGGGCGGAGGGGCTGGGAGCTCTAAGGTGGCGCCCAGCGTGGATTTCGACCATAGCTGCTCCGACAGTGTGGAGTACCTGACCCTCAACTTCGGGCCTTTCGAGACAGTGCATCGGTGGCGCCGCCTGCCGCCCTGTGATGAGTTCGTAGGGGCCAGGTGAGGCGATGAGAAATCGCGCCAGCTTGGGGACGGAATTAAGTGGGTGGCCAAGGTGGGGGTGGGGCTGAGAGTGGGCGGGGCAGCGCTGGGGTGGGGCGATGCCGAGTAGGCAGCTCAAGGAGTGGGGAGGGGCTGAGAGGGGGTGGGTCAGGGTGTTGTGTGGGGAGGGGGTGAAGAGAGGGTGGGTCAGGGTGTGTGTGGGGTGGGGCGGGGCGGTACCGAGTGACCGGGTCAGGGTGTGGGGGCGGGGCCAGGACTCCCTTTGCCCGTGTCTGACAGACTCTCTCTCAGGCGCAGCAAACACACCGTGGTTGCCTATCGGGATGCCATCTACGTGTTTGGTGGTGACAATGGGTAAGTGCTTCTGCCTTGCCTGGCCCGTGGTGTTGCTAGGTAGCTTCCCTACTAGCCCTGTCTTTTGCTATGCCTGTTAATATTAGGTGTATGTAACATAGCCACCCAACTCTAGATTTAGCATGCTATAGTGTAGAGACACTATTTGTATTGACAACTTATAACTCTATAGCAGGGGGTTGGACTAGATGACCTCCTGAGGTCCCTCCCAACCCTGATATTCTATGATTCTATTGGTTATCAGGGTTTGGCACGTATGAGGTAATTCTAGACCTGTGGCTGCTGTTTGACACTTGCATTATGGCAGCGTACTTGTCAGCTCTTTATAATCACTATCCAGCTAGGGAAGAGCAACCTTTCCATTCAGTTGTAGACAAGCCACTCTTAATCAGTCCTTTGTCACCTCAAGATTAGATTGTTGCAATATATGCTGCACCTTAAACCAGTCAGATCCTAATGCTTGTGCAGAATGCAGGGACGTGCTTGTTGAGCAGGCCACCTCACTAGGAGCATGTGATGCCAGTGCTCTGGGCTCTTCACTGGTTGTCTGCTGGTCTCCTGGTGGAGCTCAAGAGGTGATCATAACTTATAAAGCCTAGGTCAGCCTACCTGAGAGAGTGCCTCTCTCCCTAGGTCATATTGCCTTAGCAGGGGTGTGTGAGCTGGAGTGCTCTCATTATAAAAGAAGGGGCAGTGACAAGTAGGGAATTCTCAGTGAAAAATCTGAGACTCTTGTTTCCCCATGTTGGTCTGAAATAGGCTGAATTTAGTGACCTTTTGAGCACACTGCAAAATCTATCTGCTCTGCAGGGTTTTTGGAGAGAGCTGAAGGGTGTTTTCCCTACAGCTATGAAAAGGCAGGAAGGAGTTTCTGTAAATGGCTTGATGAGTTCCTGTTTAATTGATTATTTAAATACTGCTGAGATGACTTTGTATTATTAATAGTGTGCTAGGGTTTCTAGAGCCTTCGATAGGCAACTTTTAGTAATTTAAATAGAAATAACTTCATCATATCAGGTGTTAAGAGAAAGCTGGGTAGGGAACATTTGAGGTTTAGGATTTTTTATCTTGTATCTTTGCTGCCATCATCCACTCCTTGGTTCTTTTAGATTTAGAGTTAAAAGGTTTGTCTTTTCTCCCTGGGAACTGGAAATCCAGAGAGACACTCTAGCACAGCGTTTCTCAAATGCGGCCACCAGGGACTTTTCTTGCGGCTGCGGCCACAGCCTCTTGGTCAAAACAGCGGCCCCTCTACTTCCCTGTTGTTCCTGGATGCACTGCCTTAGTGTCGGCTGCTGGGGCTGCAAGCAGGGGTTGGGCCCTGCCCCTGCTTTGGAGACAGATGGGACACAACACTGGAGGAGCAGGCAGCTGGTGAGTTCCCCACCTTCCCAGGAGCGGTGGGGTTTAGGCTTTGGGCTTCGCCTCTGGGGTGGTAGACTCCAGCTGCACGGCTTCAGGCTCTGGCTACAGAGGAGCTGGCCCCGGGTTCTGGCTGTGCAGCTTCGGGCTCCATCCCCATCCCCCAGTCACGGGGCTTCAGGTTCTGGCCCCCCACGGTCTCCTCCAGCCCCCACAACCGCATCATCCCTGGCTCTTGCTGCCTACCCTGACCCCTCTTCCCCCAATCCAGGTCTTAATTTGTCCACAGGCTTGCCAGGTCTGAGTCATAGAATATCAGGGTTGGAAGGG